CCCGTGCTTGCGACGGGCCTTCCCCATATTTTATATATATATATATATATATACTACTATAATAGAAAGAGCTTGTTTCAACATGGCTGTTTAATGTCTTTTAAGTAAAGTTTGAGGATATTTTTGTCTTTTCGCCCTTCATTGTAACTTGTGTGTAGGTTCTTCTTTCAATTTTCTCCCGACACCGCTCTCTCTCTGCTCTTTTTGTTTTCTTCAATTCATCTTTTAGGTAATACTCCAAATTATTTCTATACTTTTTTTTGACATTTTTGTTTTTTAATTTAGTAATTGTTACTGTTTTTTTTTTACCTCTTTCCAGTTATTCCATTTAGTTGAAACCCTAGCCCATATTGCCATGGGTTCTTTCTGCCATTAAATTGCTCTAGATCTCTACTATTTGGTTTTATTAAAATCAAGTTAGTGTATTATCTTTTGTTGCTGTAATTTGATCTTGGTGTCATCATAGTTTTAGGTGAAATTTGATCTTGGGGTCTTCATATTGTCATGGGTTTTTTTTATTTGGGATTGTTGTTTGATGTTCAAGTTTGTTTTGCTTGGGAGACCCTTTTAGCTTCGCTTTTTGTTTAGTTATTTCGTCTTTCCATTCGCGCATATTGCATTTTACGCTTTATTGAACATGCAATAATTTATATGGTCTTTTGTCTGTTTGTATGGGTTTCTGATGTAATTAATTAGAAGAAAATTTTATGAAAGATGTGATTCTGACTGAATCAACTTTTTGGGGTTGTCAATTTTGGTCATTTGTTGTTGTAGATTGCACAAATTGAAGTTAAGCGCAGCTACAATTACCTTTACCGGAATTTCAGCTACAGGTATGTCTGTCGAATCATGCATCTGTTTTATCCATCTTTATTGAGTTTTGTAGAAATTGTTTGGTTAATTATCATTATTTTAATGTGTCGCTGTGAACTTATTTTACTCTGTGCACGGTATAAGAAACAAATAATTTCTCCAGTATTAGAGATGTGGAGTCTTGACTATGTTAAAGTGTTAAAAGTTAAAAATCTCGGAGAAAAATGTTATTTTAACTCGTGTCTGACTCTCTAAAGCTCAAGTTCTATCTTTAGTTTCATTTTAGTTAATTCTGATCATATGTATTAAAAAATGTGGAAGTTATTCCAATCTATTGAATGAAGATGATTAAAATCAATAACCTTAAAGACTATTCTTGTGCCTTGGATTGCAGTAGAGTATCATGACACAGCCATTAGCATGGCTTCAACCTCTAGCTTTTGTGGCTGAGTAGTAGTTTCAACTACTTTTGACCTATTTGATAGCTATTGGATATCTCTTATGGAATCAGCAAAATTGATTTCATTTGTTTTCGTCCAATCATATTTTTCTCAACCTTCAGATTTCTGAAAAAGGAATATTGATCTTTATAGGAAGTGCAATTTATTGTTAAAATGGAATGCAACAATGAGTGTTCCATACGATAAAAGATTAGTTCAAAGGAAAGTTTTCAGAAGTCAAAAGAAGAGACCTATGCACTTCAATAACACTTTAAGAGGCTAAAAGGATAATACAAAATTAAATAGGTTCCCATTAGATGATATCATTTCCTTTTCTCCTAAAACAGCAACAATCAAGTGTATAATACTATAAGTGGGGTTTAGGGAGGGTGTAGTGTATTCAAACTTCACCCCTACCCTTCATCTTATCAATACCATTTCAACATACCTCAAGTTTTTCACTATCTTCCATATGGATTGATATTACATAACCATTGAGTTTTTCAATTTGATGCTAATCAAATTTTGTCTTCACACTACTACTAAATGAAGGAGGGATTACGCTTGTGTGGAGAAAGTGCGCAGCCTTGGCAACAATAATCAAAATTCCCAATCTGTTTGACCATGTGAGGACCTTTCTTGGAGTAGTTCTGCAAGTAAATATGATGTTTTTTCCAAGCTCGGCATGTATTCCCTATAGTTCATTGGTCGTGTTGAAATAAATAAAATGAACAACTCAAAAAGAGTTTGTCTAAACATTTTGTTGTGCAAATGTCAGCCAACAAACCAAGCAATAAACATACAATCTATATCTCGACAAATCAATGAAATGCTAACATAGATTGAATTTCCAAAGGATTAAGACGAGGTGGAATCAAACAGGCTCAACTGGAAAAGAGCATTCACATTGTATTGGCAAAAGATCTCTTCAGTCTTAGAATCATAAGCACACAAAGCCATCAGTTTTGGGGAGAAACTTAAGAAGAAAGGTTGAAAACTTACCAATTTGAGTTGTAGGGTGATCTGATTCTTTTTTCCTTCATTTAAAATATGAAAAACCAATTTTCATGGAAGAAAGCAATATATACTCTTTATAATATCCAGTGGGAAGTGTTGTAGTGTGTTTCTTTTAATAATACTAGGATGAAGCTTTTACTTTATTTTTTTTATTCTTTTGATTTTTTGTTTTGTGTTCTATAATCTAAGTTCGCATTGCATGAGACTCATTTGAGGAAAATATTTACCGGTAAGAGATTTTTTTACTACTTTTTTAGTGTTACTTTTATTGTCATTGTCACTGCTACTGCTACATGGGATTACAATTATTACTTGTTCTCTTTCTTTTTCTCCTTGTCCAAGTTCAATTTATAAAGTTAAGCACCATCTAAAAGGAGAAAAAAAAAGAGATAACAAGAAATTAACTTTAAGTTGATATGTGAATTTTTTTTGATACTTAGTGAATTGTTGAATTTGAGGGATGCTACAAAACAGAAGTTGAAATAACATTACCAAGGACAACGTATACTTGAGGTTTATATTCTAATGTAACCAATGTGATGTTGACCTCTTCAAGTTATAATCAACAAAACTTGCTTAGAGCTTGTTTAATATTATTGCTTGTTCTTTAGATATTATTAATACATAACAGTGGTAATGTCTTATTTTAGTACCTAAACTCTTATATATAAGACATTTTCATTTATTTACTTAAGTGTTGATCCAAATTATTTTTCTTAAGAAGATTTTGTGAGGAATGAATTATTAGACTGTACTGATTATTGAAAAGACAGGTACATCATTGCAAACTTGTAGTTGTCGTGGTAGTAGCTTCATTAGTTCTTCCATTCCCTGTAATTCTGTTCAATAGCTATCACAGAAATTTTGCAAAACTGTTTCTAGAGAGCCTGTAATTCCTGAATACTGAATATATAAGACCATTGTTGAACCAAATTTACTTATACAACAATTCAGTAGCTGCGTTCAGTTTAGCTGGTTCTCTGCCAAAGTTCTGGTACCTTCTCTTGCAATTCTTGCTAGGCAATCTATCCGAATTCTATTGTGGGACAAAAGATCATGGAAAGGGGAGATGGTGGAATATAGAAACCAATCAATTACTTGTAAATTATGTGGAGTTAATCAAGAACTAACTTGGTTTCTCACAGCAGTCTATGCATCCTGTGATAGAAATGAAAGGATGGAGTTGTGGGAAGAATTTGAAGCTATGAGGAGTCTCTGTGAAGGGTTGTGGTGTCACCTGCTAAGCTGATCGCATTTTTTTTCGCTTTTTCCCTCTCTCAAACTTGACTTCATTTCTCTTATTTTCATCTTTATTTACATGTTGAATGTATTCTTTAGTTTTAACTTGCCCCTTTTATCTTTCGATCAACTTGCTTGTTCCTTTACATATGCTTTCCTCTATATACTAGAATTTCTTTGTATCTTATATTTTTACAAATACCAACTTCCTATTCTACCTTGTTTATATAACATGGCAAGTTGGAGATCACAATTAAGACTGCATCCTGGCTGACCTTCAATTTAATTTATTGCATTGTGTTAATATGTAAATAGAACATTTATAGAAATCTTTAAATCTGTGGATCTAACTTTAAATACATTGTTTCACTTTTCAATTAATATATGTTTTTCTTAAATAAAACAGACTCTATAGAATCATTTGGTGTGAGTATAATGTATAATAATTTCAGGACAAAATGTTTGAATTATTTTATTTTATGTTTAGTTGGGGATATTAGGTAGTCACTGACTTATTTATTGCAGATTTTTTTTGTCATAGTGATGAAATATATAATAATTTATTTTAGGATAATTAATTTCAAAATTTAATTATTTTAGATAACTTGTTCTCAACAAAACAATTCTAACTAAATCTCCATTATGTTGGGCTCATGTTGCACGGGCTAATATATATATATATAGAAGAGACAGTTTCAAACATTTTAACATGGTTGCTTGTTTGTCATTAAAGTTAAAAACAAGGATAATTTGGTCATTTGATTCTAGCAAATATATATGCATTTAGATACGTGTCTTACCTTTTATTTAAGGAATAAACATGTGGTAGCTCTTCTTTTGTCATGATCTCTTTCTCTCTGTTTACCACAAAATAAAGCAATCACAGGTTGTAACTCTTCTTCTTTGATCATCTTTTTTTCAAATTTTATGAATTGTCTGTTAGATTCATTATAGCCATGTAGGGTAGATGTTAAGTGAAAAATCTTAATTTTGGGTTTTTAAACAGTGTTTTGAGAAAAAGTTATTGAAAAGAAAGTAAGAGAGCAAAAATTATGTTTAGAATCAAATACTGCAATATAGGTTTTGAGCAGAAATCCAACATTATTTAAGGTCAAACAGAATTTGCAAATGAGGCAAGGACCGACATTAGCTATGTGTGTAAGTTATGATGTTTCATGATCAAATTACTCTAAAACTTGCTGATTCTCTAGAACAACTATCAAATTCAAATTTAACACTTAGCTTTCTAATGTTCCAAACACCAAATATCTCCGCAAGTGAAAAATATTATGTATGATACATGGCCTCCTTGATGGAACCATCTAAGAAGATTGACGTAGAGATATTAATTAAAGGCGCTATTACAGAGATTTGCATATGAAGTTTTGCCTTGATTTTTTGTTGCGTGAGATACAAAATTAAAGCAAAGAAATGCTCATCAAGGTGGGTTCTTTGTTAAGCGGGTGGATTCAAATGATTTTTATTTTTTTTGTAAAATTAGACAAGACTTATTTAATGAAGTAAAGTATGAAAGATATTTCGGAGGTGTTACGTAATTCATTGCATCTCACGTATAAAATTTAATATTTGTTGTTTCAATTTATATGAGTTAGTCACGGAGATTAGAAAAGAATTTTTTTTAAAATTTATAGTCAAATGTGAGTCATAGATATTTATTACTAAAAATTATTTCATTTGAAGTTAAATTATTACTAAATATAAAAATATGTCAAATATTTGGAAATTAATTAATAACGAAAGTAAATCTAAGACAAAGGGAGAATCAGTTTATGGTTAAAGATCCTTTATATTGTTTAACATGGTAACACCTTCTGACTTCAATTCAATTCTTTGTAACTAGAATCAATAACTTAACGAAATTCATTGACTTTGGAGTAGACACCACCAAATCAATTTGAGAAATCTTCCTAACTTCAATACCATCACAACTAAAAGGATATTTGTTCGCTCTTTTTCCCCCTTCCTTACATATATGTATGTCGATTATTTATAATTTTGGAGAATAATCACAAAAAGATGTGACCGTATGTTTTTTTGTTGCAAATTTGAGAATAGAAGTGACTATAACTCTGTTCATTTTGATTTTTAATCATTTCAAATGATTGTGATTTACTTTAATTTCACCTTTTTTATGTATTGGTCTCAATTTCATGATTAAAAATTTCAAACTTGAAGATACATCCGATTTTGTTAATTCATGTAATTCAGTTATTATTGTGAATCGCATCAATTTAGCTTAAACAATTTTTACGTTGGGCTCGTGATACGAATCGTATTTTTCTAGTCTATCAAAAAGATAAGGACAGTGATGTAAAAAGTATATATTTTATATTTAATGTCATAATATTTTATAAAAAATAGTGGGAAAATTTGGACAGCAAGAGGAAAAATAAGAAAGGAAATTATAAATGAGGAATGAAACTCTCATCAGCAAAATAAAATCAAGGTGTTATTTATATTTATCATTATATTTAACGTGATCTTTAATTATTTTATATTTTTATTAAAAAATCAAAATAATAATAATAGTAAGTAGACTTTAAGTTATATCCTCAAATATTAGTACTTTTTAAGGATGTATTATACCTTAACAAACTATACAAGAAGTGGATATAAGCTTACATCTTCATACTAGTCAATAAAGTAGGAGAATTAATGCATGTTTGAAAATTTTGATATATAATATTAAATGATTCAACAAAATAAATAAAAATAAGTGACGAAAGAGAGGATTCAAAAAAGCTAGATTTGAGAAATACTTAGAATTTATTACTCAAGTCGTTCCGTAAGAAGAGAACTTCTTTAAAAAAAAGTTTTATGAGAGAGGCTATCAATTGAGAAATTATCAATGATTAAAAATAAAATGAATTTAAAGTCTCAAATTATAAACAAAATCCAGAAATCTATTGTTGATTTGCTGCAAAAAAAAAAGTTGTGAAAAAAATAAACTATGGCAGAAAAGAAGGAATTCTAAGCACATAAAGTAAGTGAGAGAAATATTAACTATGATAAAACTCTTTAGTTAACCAAACAAATATGAGTCATTAAATTATTTGTATAACATATTTTAAATTATTTGTATAACATATTGCAAAATATTAAAGGGGTAATGGAGGAACTGGAGAGATTATGTACTGGAGAGGATACTTATTGAGTTCATACCTCAGATGGTCACTCAACTATGCACTCTTCTCTCGGGAAGTCAGTCAACTTTCAATTTTCACTCAAAAATCACTCAACTATTGCTTTCTTTCTCAAAAAGTCACTCAACTTTGAATTTTTAACTCAAAAGTCACTCAACTATCCATTCTTTCCTCAAAAAGTCACTCAATCTATTAAATTATTTTTTAATTAAAAATTGTTGATATTAATTATTTATATAACAAATCAAAAATTTTAAAAAAATAAATTAAACTATTTAGTGATTCATCCACCTAACCCAACCCATTAAAAAATATGATATGACCCATTTTATTTTGTCTTTAATCCTAAATTAATCTCTTTCTTTAAACCTTGAATTATGATTAAAGACAAAATAAAATGGGTCATATCATATTTTTTAATGGGCCGGGTTAGGTGAGTGAATCCCTAAATGGTTTAAATGGTATTTTTATTTTTTTTAAAATTTTGGTTTGTTATATAAATAATTAATATCAATAAATTTTAATTAAAACAACAATTAATAGATTGAGTGACCTTTTGAGGAAAGAGTGAATAGTTGAGTGACTTTTAAATTAAAATTCAAAGTTGAGTGACTTTCTGAGAAAGAAGTGCATAGTTGAGTGACTTTTGAGTGAAAATTGAAATTTGAGTGACTTTCTGAGAGAAGAGTGCATAGTTGAGTGACCATCTGAGGTATTAACTCTCCCTTATTTGGTGCTCTTTTTCAATCTATGTATAATTGATGTTTTTTATCGTGTATTAAAGTGTTTATTGTTAATATCAAGAATTTCTAGGTATTATCAATGCAATGGTTTTAATGCATACATTAAAATGATTAAAAACTCAAATGTCCCTCAAAGCCTTTTATACATTTTTCTGCCATAGTAATAGAGGATATCTTTGCAAATTACTTTTTTTATACAATACATGCTATTTTTCTTATGCATCAAATGAAACAATTCATTAAAACAAGGGAAACTTTCACATATAGTCACTTAAAAATAATTAATTGCTCTCTATAACTATAGTTTAATAATTACAATTTGTAACTACATGTTGTTTGGAGGAGAGAGGCGAGCTAGACTGGGAGAGAGAGGGGGAAAAGAGTGAGAGAAAGATGAATTGTATATGTATATTGGTTAGATAATTGTATATTATACATATGTAATTGTGTATATGTCAAGAGAGATTGAGAGAGGGAGGAGAGAGGCGAGCGATACTGGCAGGGAGAGGAGAGAGGTGAGTGAGATCGAGAGAGACAAGCGAGAGAGGTGAATTGTATATGTATATAATTGTATAATATACATATATATTTGTATAAATGGCAAGCGAGATTGGGAGAGGGAAGAGAGAGGCGAGCGAGATTGAGAGCGGGAGGAGAGAGGCTAGCGAGAGAGGGCAAAAAGTGGGAGAGAGGCGAATTATATATGTATATAGGCTAAAAATTGTATATTATACATATTTATTTGTACATCCTGACGAATTATACATATACAAACATGATTAATTATACAAACTCGAAGTCAGCCCACGTAATTAAAATATAATGTTAGTCGCGATTGGTAATTATAGCAAACTATAGCTATGATGAGTAATTAAATAGTATAGATTTGCTTATCTGCGTAAATTTTCCTTAAAATAATTTATGTATAAAAAATGCAAGCATAACTGATACAGTCCATTTAATATTATTCTTATACACTATCAAGTGTCTGCATACAAAAGATCTTAAACAACAGATTGGTTCAAGGATCAAGGATGTATATTGAACTAAAATTCCATTGCAAAATTTGATGAACCTTGTTCCTATTATAACTTAATTACAATATTTTTATATGTTAATGGAGTAAGCATTTGAGTTGTATTATATTAATTGAAATTATTTCTAAGTGTCATGTTTTCCCAATGTGAACACCTCTTAAAGCATCTCAAATGATGGCAATAATGTTGATAAATGAATTAATTTGCTTTTGACAAGACACCAACATCATTATAAATATAAAAATAGAGTATGCTTTAATGGCTCATCCACTATAGTATTTTGTGGAATTTCACGTGTCAACATTA